TTTAAGAGCTGCCCGGATCCAATATACTGTTACACATGTGTTTTCTTTCTCAGCTGTTTGCGTTCACTTAAGACATAAATTACTGTGTTTATTAGGATACTTTCAAAGACGGGCATTTTGACACGTATAAGTATGTGTATATTTAACCGTGCAAGGCCAATAAAGCGGCTTATGAGCACCACATTCACGTGTGCGCGTATCTCTGACAGCGCGCACACATAGTGAAATGAGTTCTCTTTCGCTGGTGATTCCCAAATATACCATTCAAAGCACACGCCAAGTGTTTAAACGAATCCATCTCACAATGGCTGTATAACTGCTACTAACTCTTTCATGAAATTGATTCGCGGACAATTCCATGTCATGAAATTGCTACTCAGTGCTCCACATGGGAGATCAACAGTAGAGGAGAGCCCTTGCAATTATGAATGTGACATTCAAGACCCTGAATTGTTCAGAGATAGTTATAGATACCGCAAAAATCATGTTGCGTGTAAAGCAATGTAATTAAATGAGCACAGAAGAACGCAGTTTCAAATGATGAGATGTGATGCGTTCATTATATGCCCTCCATTCAAGTCTCATCACACACTTAGGGAGAAGAAAAGAGATTCGAAAAACAGTCAATTTTTAACAGGCAGTTGCAAAGGTTAATTACTTTCCTAACTACGTCTAGAAATGTCAAACATTTGTTTTCTCCCTAATTGACAAGAAAATTAACTGTGAACTGCACTGAGGGTTAATCTCAAGTCTGTCATACGAGGCTCTGAGTGCCTCAATGCACAGAAAGTATAAAAAGCAATTATGGTCCCCACTGTGGCGTCCTTTAAAATCACTTAAAAGCAGCATAAAATTCAATGCAGATGGAGACAAAAAGCGCAATTATGCCCAGTATCCTGTGGCTCTTGAAGCTGCACTTGAGACCATAAAGTTCAATAATTCTACACACATACCAGCAGTAAGAGCATAAGGGGAAGTATAATCTCAGTGCTAATCAATATTAATTCCTTTGCCTCTCTAATGACAAGGTGTAGTCAATGTCTGCTCGGGCTCTCCCTCTCTAGGGTTCAAACACGCTGGGCCTGTTCTGCAGGCACCTGTCTGCCCTTGTACCTGAGCTGTATTATAGGCGATTATCACACCTCGTCCCCCAGGCAGACGGTCTTCATGCGTCTGCAGCATTGATCTCATTTGTTGAGGAGATAAGGCTGTAATTTGATGAGGCCTGAAATCAGATGGACCTCCATGGCTAGGCCAGGGCTAATTCCACTATCCCTGACCTGCCTAAGTAGCTAGGCCACGGCCACAACTACAGGGGGTTAATCCTGTCCAATCCCACCCTCAAGCCAGCTCATCACCATCTGGGCTGCTGTCCACGTCTCTTCCTCCTGTTGGAGGCAAGGGAACAAGGGTACCCAACCACTCCAGACAAAAACCTGAGCCAGGATCTTAATTGCAAGTGCATGATCTATTGAACTGTGATGCTGACTACAGCGGCTGTCTGCAGGATACAGTGCTACATAAATATTTAAGGCCGCATGACATTACAAAACAGCATCAATGTCTGAGTATCTACACAGTCCACTTCCCCAGGTGATTATTCGTGGAGGCACGGTTGGGACTTATTATGGGACCCATTAGCTAGCACGGTTAAATTTTGTTAGTTTTTAGAAAAAAGACCCAAGGATGGCGTAAATAAACTCAGTAATACAGGGTTGGTAACAGATTACTGATTTTCACACAATATTTATCAACTTTAACACAATTACACATTACTTGTGATTGAGCAATATGGATTTATTTGATATCTTAGAGAGAGAAGGTTGCCGATAATAAGCTGGTATATCATACTATCATATTTAAATAACACCTGCAGCATTGAAATTTATTTTTCCTCCAAATAATTTTTCCTAAATTAGAAATGAATAAAAGAAAATGAATCAAACATAAAAAATGAACTGTAAATTGAATCTGTAAATTCAAGATTTATACTTCAGATAGCAACTTCTTGATTCTGCAACCCTATTATAGTATTTCCCACAAATAAAGAAAACTACTTAGAATAGAATACTTTTTCTTATAATTTATTAGATTAGTTAATAGTTAATTAGACAGAGGTGGTAAACAGAACACTAATGAAGAAGTAGGATGGGATCACTTGTGTTTGTTTTCAGGTGCTGGCGTTCTCAGTGCTGTCAAATTAACAGTCTTGGTGGTGTCAAAATAAAAGCCCCGCTTTTGATACTTATTGGCCTAACAGATAAACATATTGATTGATGCCAATAATAAAATAAAATGCCAAATATCGGCCGATAGATTGGCCTTGGCAATACATCAGTCCACCACTACACATAACTGAAACTCAAACTGTAATGTTGGCAGTTGACTTCTACTAATCAAAGAAAATGCTTAAAGACAGATGCTGAATTCAGAACTGCATACTAAAATACTACTATTACCATTCTTTTCACAGAAAGACATTATAAAAAGAGTAATATGCTAGTATGCTGTCCTGAATTTAACAAGAGCTGGCCTCTGTTCTGCCCCCAGCAGCACTGGAGATTCTGGAGAAGTCAAGTTCTCCATATAATAACAAAGAAGTTTGTTTTGTTAGCACTTTACACCAAAGTTCAATTCATTAATATTAATTCAAGGTATAGTTCACCCAAAAAAATGAAAATTCTGTCATCATTTACTCACCCTCTACTCATTCCAAATCAGTATGACTTTATTTCTTCTGCAGAACACAGAATATTTCAAGGACTTGAATAAAATATAGCATGAAACAATTCTCACATACTGTACCATTGTACTGAAAAACAGGTTTTGTGGAACATACAGCAACAGAACAATAGAGACAACTATACTGCAAGGTATAACTTTGAGTGCGCGGCATGTTTTGAGAGAAGTGAGATGAAGCGGTGTATCAGGTGAAAAGCAATAAGCTATGCCCCGAAGATGAAAGCTTCACAAATCCTTTGATGACTCAGAGTTTGGTGCATAGTGCTGTTTTTGATCAGACTAACTAGAACGGAGGGAGTTTTGCAGAATGCAGTCATGGGTTTGATAAAGTGTCGAGAAAGTCTGCGGCTCGTCAAAGAAATATCTTTCTCAAAAAACTACAAATTCCCTCTTAAGCCCGTATGCCTTGTGCAAAAAGCTTTTAAGCCCAAAGACACTTACTGTACTGTGTCATTTCCAAAAACATAAACTCTCACTTAGAGTGAACATTCTTGTGGCGTATTTTCATTTCCAGCAGTATAATGGACAATAATAAGCAAAATCGAGGAGACCCGGTTCTGGGAAGTTCTTCAAAAATGCAGCAGCAAGAATATTCCGGTGATAAAAATATCTATAAAACTGTAAACTTATTTTTATCCTCTCGCTGCTCCAACTGCCTCACAGCGACAATAACTGGCAAAGAAAACTATTTTTCTCTCCATCCCTCTCGAACACTCAACTCAACAGTACCAGCAGCGCTGGAAGGTAATTCGACCGGCCAATTTAAACATGTCATGATTGAGCTGGAAAGAACAAACGGACATCAAAGAACAAACCTCAAGTCTGAGAGAAAGAGCAGCAAGCTGGCGGGAAGCTGAGAGAGGGACGAGAAACGGGTGGGGAGGTTAGATTCGTGTGTCATTACGATCACACCGCTGTGTTGCTATTCTGGATTCCTGGGGTTTGACATCTAGATTGCAGATGGATAAGTGTGCCTTAAAACCACATCCCCCATCAGGGAAAAGAAAATAATTTCTCATAACGGCATCTATTTACTGGCAAGGCCTATCTCTCCCACAGGGCCCGAAACAAATGAAAATGTTATTTCTCTCCTCATGAACTCCCACCTTTTCTGTCTGCCTTTCTTCACTGCCAGCAATTTCATTCTCCCTCTAAATTTGAGTTAAGTCCATGACTAGGGGGAAATAATGTCTCTGGAATAATCTTTCTGCAACTATAATTCCAGGGGGTTGTGTTCCTATATTTATATACCTTCGCATTTATTTACTTAGTTCGCGGGCTTTTTGCCTTGCGGTTTCGGAGGAAATTGCAGTGGCTTCTGATACAGAAGTGATGCGAGATATGGAGGATCTTTCTGTAATCCCCTTAGCCGCAGCGAGGCCTTGACGGGGGACAAACATGTCCTCTGCCAAACATATAAACAGCCCTGATGGGGACAGACAGCCGCGCACAACGGCGCCTGTCAGAGAGGTATTTCGCACGCCACTCATGAGATGATGCAAAGCGCAATATTAGCTCAAACCTGTGCAATGTTAAGCCTAGAATGACACAAATGTAAGCATTGCAAAACATCCAGATAAAAGGCATTTTTATAGTGGTGACCACGACACGTTGTCCAACACAATTTCTGAAGGCCTTTCATATACTATAATATTTAGTCAAGTATGTTCTGCTGCTAATATGACAACGTGGCTTGTTTTCAATCTTTTTAATTAACAGAAACTGGGAGAATATATAAATTAATTAAACTGATTAACCACATTTATTTTTGTGATTCAAGAAGTTTCATTAACTGTATGTTCTTTAATAAAAAATTGCTGTTGAAAGAAATACTCAGTTTACACTTCAGTTGTATGTGCTTTTTAGTATTTTAATTAAGTTAGATTATTTTAATAAAATTGTTTGTAGCTTGCAGAGGCCCCTTGGCAATGTGTGTCAAACGTCTGAGATTCAAAATTAAATGTAAAAATTTAAATAAACAGAAAGGTAAAAAAATGGTATGATATAATAAATATTTAAGATTAAGCCCGATTTCTAAGAAGGGGCTGAATTTTACAACTCAAATGAAATTAAATATTTTATATAGTCAAGTCAAGTCTGCTTTATTGTCAATTCTTCCACATGTACAGCACATACACACAGAGAATTGAAATTGCGTTACTCTCAGACCCTTGGTGCATACAGATAACACTAACAGTAGAACATAAATACAGATAGATACAGATTAAATATAAAATACAACTATACAAATAGAGACAGATAGACGCGACGAATACGTACAAAAACACTGCGACTCACAAGACAAAAAACACGAAAACACCTTTCTGTCGGGAGAGAGAGAAGCCGCAGCGTGTGAACGCGCCGCCATACTGATTTATTCAATATATATTTTAACTAGTGGTCTCAGACTTGACTCCCATGGCTCTGGCCTGGATTCAGATGTCAGTTCTGGGCAGGGTTATACTATAACGGTGGTTTGAGGTGGATGTTTTAATAGCTTGTTCTTTACAGGACTCTTTAACACTCTGTGTGTACTCAGCCTCTTCCACTCAAGCATAAATCTCAACAGAACCGTGACAGATAGTTCTGGAACCTTGGCTGGATTCAGAACACCCAGCAAGAATTTATGTTTCCCCAACCACCTGCGTGGCCTGACATGTCATTAAAATGACTGCTGGATGAAAATCAAAAACCAGTAACTACTTTACTTTTTCATTCCATCTCAAGTTTTTTTTCTTCTTTTGCATATGAGGAGGAAAACATGTGGTTGTTACACTAAATCACGAAGGCAATAAAACTTAGCGACTTGTTATTAATCTTTAGTCTTTTACAAAACTAAGTCAAAAAAATTTTTTTCTTTATTTACTCATTTCCTTTGATTATATAGTTCTGTGCTTTGAATGAAGTCATGAAGACTTTTATGCTTTATTCTCAGTAGACACACTCTCTGATCTGGGTCTGAGTGACTGAAAAACACAGCGCAGTCCATTAACCGAACGCCAATGAGCACAATGTGACTGCCTGTGTGTATATATAGCCCTAGTTTTTCTTTAGTTCCTTGTGAGTTGTTGAATGTAATTGTTTGCCAGTCATTCTGTTCTTTGTTCCCTTTGGTTTTTGCCTTATTGTTTGTTCTAGTTTTTCCATGAAATACCAGCACAGAGATCCTTGCCTCTGCCTATTTTCTGCAGCTTCTCCACAACATTACAGTTTTTTAACTAGCGTGTCTCTTTGACTAGTGCATTTTTTGAGCCTATATTTAGTATAAGTAAAATACTTAAGTACTGTTAAAATCAGATACTCTAAGACTTTTACTCAAGTTGTTTTGGAATTGGTGACTTGTAACGTGTAGTGGAGTAATTTTCACTGTAAGGTATCTGTACTTTTACTCAAGTATGGTTTTTAGGTACTCTTTACACCTCTGCTGATTGGTGTATAGAGCTGGTAAGCGGTGAAGAGATGATATATGAAAGCTCGACTTGGCGTTCTCCATTAACACAACATTGCAAAACAAATACAGTCATTCTAATGCCAGCATGCTAAAAACACAACTGATCCTCAAAACACAACATTATAAATAGATAGATATATTCTAAAATCTGTTTGGATGAGTTACATTTGAAGCTGTTGAAAGCAGTCAATATACACCCCACCTCTGACCAATCAACTGAATTGCAAAAATTGCTGATAAAATGTAAAACTGTAAAAAATGATATGATCAATAAGCCATGGCAACATATGATTTTCCACTACTTTAACTCATCAAAATATTTTAACCAATTTCAACTTCATTTTCTAGATATATGAGATTCAACTAAACAAGATTTTATACAATGATTAGAAATTTACTTTTTACTATACCTATACTATAGCCAATTTTACTATACCTAAACATTTACGATGGCAACTGAACTTAAGTTTTTACTAGGGCTGTGAATCTTTGGGTAGACAGTGAATCGATTCGATTCACGATTCATAGGTTTTCGATTCGATTCAAGGACGATTTTTGCAAATTCAGAACGATTCAATTCGATTCGATTCACAATTCAATTCGATTCTGCATTCTTTAAGTGCATTCACAGGATTATTTAAATGCTTCCCCTAAATTCTTTAAATGCTTAGTCAGGGGGCAAATTACAC